TTTATCCAAATTTCATTTAGGTTTTGTTGTATTCTATTCATCACCATAAACAGACAAAAGTTTCATTCTTTATAAAATGGCCTCAACTGCTATGCTAAAGATATCTGCGAATTTAGGGAAATGTAAAAGGTCTCAGAAATAGTCTAGCAAATGTCAAAGATCTACTGTACAATTACATTTAACATAAGGGAAAGGTCTTATCCTATTTCATAAATAGTTTCCAGCAATAAAAGGTCGCATAGAAAGGTCAGAGTACATGGCATTCAATGCACCCAATATTTTAATAATTCGTCTGCCTTTCTTCCTGGCCTCCTATAACAGGCTGGCTGTTAGGAAAGGTCTTCAAAATACAATCCTGGGGGAAGCTCACCAACTAAGACAAGTGCAATGTGAGCCACAAAGAGTAGTGGCTCCTGTTGGCCATCTTTACTAGATACAGCCACTATAGGCAAGAGACTAATAGTATTATCAGTAGGTAGCTGTATACAAAGCAAAAAGTTCAAGAAATTAAATGGTCTAACCATGCTTTGGAAGACTGAGCTGTTTATGATTGGTATACTGCTTTTACTTCTTAGGTAACTAATACCAATTTTCTCAGAGTAGGTGGGAACTACAGTAGACCAAAACAAGGGAGCCAAAGATAGAGCTATCAGATACCGCATTTGTAATGTGGGCATTAAGTCAGCAATTCTCTCTCCCTGGATATAGACTGAAGACTTTTGATCAGGTGTGCTGATCCAAATTACCTAATGGGAATTTATTTTTCCTTTACTGGTTAACCCAATAACCCCTAGAAGGAAAGACAGTACTCCTCATTCCTTCACATTTAGAATTTAGGTATATGAGCTAAATATGGATTGAAATATGAATTGTTTTACTTTGAATTCAAAAAACATTTTATTTCAAACCCAAAACTTTAATAGATCCATACGATTTAGAGTCTTAACACATGAGCTGAATTTGCTGGATTGACGTGATCAAGAAAAAGAAAAAATAAAAACCTGATTATTTGGGGGCAGAAGATACATTTTTCAACAATAATGGCTCCATACGACCTTCTTAATACTGTCTGTTACTCTACAACACAAGTCTTCAGCTCAAATTGGTTTTGCTTAGCTGACTGCTAAGACAATGGCCCAAACTCTGCTCTTTCTTATACTCTTCTTTTCCAGTCCTCAGCCATTCTCATTTTTTATTGCCTATTTTTATTCTAACCTCGGTCTCTAAGTTCCAATGGAAATTCAGCTTCTTGAAGAAGCCTTACCTGAGTATTTCAGCACTACATGATCTCTCTTTACAGAATGCTCCTAAAATTACTCAGCATAATATTTATGTTATATACCATAAAACTCAGCATGTAATTATATAGTACTATTACTTTTTAGACTTTTTCCCATGTGTATTATTCTTATCTACCCAGGAAGATAGTAAACTGCTGGAAGGCAAGGTCAATCTTAACCAAGACATCCTTTCATAAAAATATGAACTGTTTATCCCTCACCCCCAATTACTTTAACCTAATTTCAACTTGTTTCGAATGTGCACACTTGTGCTGCCTAATGGTGAAAGTAATCATTGCATGGGTACAACTCAGTAATTGGCTTACAAAACATAACAGATCCAAATAATGGTTGCACCAAATCATTATTTGTCTAAAATCAAAGAAGAATAAAGCTATTGTTACAAAACGAAGCACCAAATATGATAAATATAACTAATTTTTGGTGCACTGAGTTAAAAGTTTACTAAGGTGTGTAATTTAAAAAGTTCTCATGTAAAAGCCTCTTTTCTCTAAGTTAGCAACCTCCTTTGGGGTTAATATAGTACTGAAAAAAATTATATAACCATATATTGAAATACTCTGTGATTAGAGGTACATATAAAATAAATCATCCATGACGGATACCAATCAGTGCAATATATAATGCTGAGATGTGCTAGAACACTATGCTTGTCTTACTTTTCAGATAAGAAAATAATATTCAACTCAATACTGATTGAGTCTCTACTATGGGCACGACTTTCTATATCTTTAAGAAGGTTATGATCTAGTAATGGTATAAAGCTAGTACACAGATGATAGAAATCAAGGTACTCAGGCGAAACTTTTTGCAATTATTATTACAGGAATAACAAATCTGTATAAAGTTATATAATGGGCATTACATTTCAAGATAAGTATATATTTTCTAAATGTTCTTGATGACAAAATATATTCTAAACAGGCACAAAAACTACTTGTTTTGCGTTTTCTCTTATTCAGGGCTTCCTGATATGACTTTTTATCCTTAACCTCTTGATGTCCTAAACTCCTAATTTTCTCATTTCTGCTATTAGATGTGAGCAAAACTAAATTCAGTTACATGTGTGAGCAGTAAAGATATTATTTAATGATAATTGGTTTTAATATGTGGTCTCCAGGATTCCAGTAGTATATTTATCTATAATGGTCATTTGTTTTAACAGCAAGTTTCTTTTTCAAATTGAATATCAAAAGCAGATCTCAGGTGCCTAAAGATCAGAAGGTTGTGCTGAGCCCTGTCTGAGTCAGAATCCTTTTCTAAAAGAACACTCTGGCCTAGATGACTTCTAAGATCCTCTTCACCCCTGATTCTTAATGAAACTTTTTCTTTTCACTTGATGTCCCCACCCCCGCCACCCCCACCACCAAACTCCTGCCCAAAGCAGAGCTGCCTGCCCTGCATTCTCCACCTGATGCCCCCTTGGCTGTGCTGGCTGCCTGTCATTTCATAACCACCTCTCTGTGACCACTCTCTCTCCACGATCTGGCCATTTAGCCTTTTTTTCTTTTTAAAAATCTCTCTTGAAGAAAACCATCCAGATCACTATTGTTAAAAAGGTGCTTTATTAACAAAATTCACACTACAAATACGAAAGGCACCAAGTTACAGTAGAGAGAGCATGGTTATTCAGTCAGATAAACCACATTCCAATAATTTTGATGAGCTTCTTCAATTCACCTCAATTTCTGCTTCAATTTGTCCTACAAGTTAAATATTAATAATGCAACTACCATGTAGGATTGTTGTGAGGATTAATTGACAGAATACTTAGCATAATGCCTGGTATGTAGCAAATAATAAATGTTAGCTGCTGTTATAATCATCATCATCATATTTTTTATTTCTATTATTATATAGGTCCCATTCTACTTTTCTGACTGAAATAAATGGAATCATCTACTTTTCTAGCTGAAGCAAATGGAATCATCTATGTTTCTCTTTTTTACAGATATAAAGAGGGAGGAAATCAGCTGCCAGTTCTGGCAGGAAAAATTATATACTGTGGTTGTTGACTAGTACTCTGAGTAATGACTAAGTAATACGAATTCCCTGAAGTTATAAATCAGCTTGCTACTAACATATTTTCCAGATTTTAGAACAGAGCTCCATTGACATATCTTTATCCACTATAAAATAATCTCTCAATTACCCTGCCTACACTCAGGTCTTTATTAGCAAAAGACGTATTCCAAGATCATGCTTGTATTAACAGAGAAATCCAGTAGATGAATATGTTCCATGATGTCAGAAATCATTAAATACTATAAATTCACAGATTATGTGAGGAAATAAAAGACATATTGTTGAATGAGAAGGGAGAGTCTGAATTGGAAGCCACATTAAGTGGTACCATGATAGAAAAAAAGTTAAAAATAAAATCACTGTTTAATTGTCTCAGTGCCTCCCTCTCCCATTCCATGGGCAAAAAGAACTGCATTCACCATGAGCTTCTATGGGTAGATGGACACTCACTATTCAATATATGACATAACCCATCAAGCACATGAGTCCATTCCATATTAGTTATAACAGAATTCCAAAAGCAAGCTAAGCTAATAGAGGCAGTATTTTCGGTTTATAATGTGATTTTGGTTTGACGGTACATTTCTTTAAAATCATGGGTTAATTCGTTGTAAAAATGCTTCATCTTGGCAGAGTTTATTAACTGAGGTTATACTTTGTATCTTAACGCACATTAAACCCTAAAGAAATAACAATGATGTCATTTACGAAAAAAAGTAAGAACTTTATACTTACATAATGTTCCAAGGTCTTTCATGTTAGGAACAAGCAGTTTTGTGACAATGTAGCAATTACCAGATGAAGGTGATAATTTGTCATAGGTGTCACCATTATACAATATGACTTGCTAGAAATCAGAGTAGAGAATAGAAACGTGCAAACAAGATTTTTCTTCTGCTAGGTGGCTGGACTTTGAATTATTCTTATAAAATTAACTCTTCAGCATGTTTCTGGGTAGTTTTTCAAATATATTCATATGTGTACTATTTGTATGTACACATGTGTATATGAACACATAAAAATATAAATATGCAGCTATAATAAAACATACAATTAGTTTTTTTACATAAGAATATCAAAATGTAAACATTTAAATGGGTGTTGGGTATGATATTGTCAGTGGAATCACTTTGTCCCCATAGGCCCTTCGACAGACGTGTGAGGTAGTTAGGAGTATGAGCCACAAACTAGGAAGCAGAAGAATAAGGGTTTATCCCTGACCTACAACAACTGACACACCATCTAGATGCCCGTTCTATTTAACTACTAACTACTATCTGCCTTCCTACTAACCAGAGGCATTTGCTGGAGTAAGTGCAAAAGTGAATGTAAAAATATATTTTAAGCTATAAAGAACTATAGTATAAGTAACTATAGTATAAGATACTTTCAAGACAGTTTTGTTGATTTAAGAAACATATAAAAATAGAATGATGGTCTAATAGTATATTATTTTCCGTCTATTCCAAAAAAGGGGAGAAATGTTTTTTTACAAAGATATCTTTTATATTTCTAAAGAATACAAAATAAAACATTTTAACACAACGTAATGTAAAAATATAATATCTCATTTCTTGAAATAAAATATGAAAAAGTGCTTGTAAATTCTAAAGGTCTATATTTTTTAGCTATTTTTGCCACTTACATAAAGTGTACTTTGAGATGGGTGCTTACCTTCTCTTAGACGGTCTACTACAAAGGTAAAGCCTGTAGTTCTTGGTTGTAAGACATATTCATATTTCTGGAGTCCATTTTTTTCAGCAAAATCATTACTTCGAGCCTTGCTATTTTCTAAACAAAACAACAGAATATTAGAAGCCATAAAATGAAGATAAAGTGATAGGAAATAGTGCAGAATTTCTTTAATAAAAGTGGCAGCTAATTTTTCTGCAACTATTGAATATAGTACACTGAGAAGATATAAACGCTTTAGTAAATACCTAGTAAAGATCCTATTTATTGAAATTTTGAAATTTTTATGTTAAAGTATCAATAGACTTTTTATAGCAATTTATAAATTCATATTCAAATCTTTAAAATTCTTTAAGAGATTTCATAAAACAGTAAATATACAATGAAAACTGAAATACAAACAAAATCCTAATAAACTAAAATTTTCAGTCTTTTCATAATAAAAATTGAAATACTAAAATATAAGATAAAGTGGTAATAAAACATAAGGATTCCAATATCCAAAGGAAATAACTAGCAATCTGTCATATATATCAGATCAACAATTTTTTTAACCCAATAATTTAGGGCTTCAACACAGAGTGAAATATCTGCCTTGCTCAGACACAGAGCATGCTAATATTACTAACCAAAACCACTCCACAACAGAATAGGCACATGATCATGTACAAACATCTGAACATGGTTTGGCTGAATATAGTTACAGAGTCAAGTATATGTTCCAATTGCTGGCAAAAACTTCATTTTCCATTCCATGAGGTAACTTCATAAGTTCCAAGAAGTACCAAACCCATTATTCAGCAAATATATTTGGAAAAAGTAAAGTGTTCGGAATCTGGCTAAACTCCTGGGGGAGATCATGAAATGCTTTCGATGACAGCAGATGTTAGAACCTGCAATCCTCAGCTGCATCCTGAAATTTATAGACTATTCCAAGTCACAAAGGAAAAAACCTATATATAAAAATACAACTTTTCCTAGGAGTAAATTTAAGACCATGAAGTACTCAAAAACCTCAAAAAAACGAACAAAAAAACCCAGATGGATTGAAAATATTCAAAGAATACTCCTATAAAAGATGTTACGTTTATTTAATATATAAATGAGGAATTGAGTCAAAGAATTAAATACCCACGGATGCCCCAGCAAGGCAAAAGTAAAGGCTCTAAACCTTAACAGTAATAGGCATCTTTCACATTCATTTGAGGAGAATATCCTGGACATGGGGACTACAAAACACTTATTTCACTGACAACTGGCAGGACCTTACATGGGATGAAGAAGCCCAGGGACACTACAGTGATGAGTAGTTAACTTCTCTTCTCTTTGCTCTTCTAGTTATTCACAGACTTTGGGGAAACTAAAGACAAAACTGAACTCTGTTGTAGAATGTGGATATAAGCATAAGTAGTTCTAAACTGCAGTTACAATGTGGGAAGGTAGACATAATCAGAGTCACAGAGAGATTAGAGATGCGGATTACTGCTCCCACCCCCACTTCATGTACCGACTCCGCGGTTATTAGTAACTGCACAGGCATCCATCCCACTTTCCGACCACAGCTGCCTCTCTGGTCAGCTCACTCCCTGCAACGCTCCAGTGCCGGCACTCCTTCCACTCCAATGGGCCAACGAGCCACTTTGCTGTTCTCAAACCAGCCAGGCATGTTCCCACCTCAGGGTCTGTGCATGTTTTTCCCTCCACTCAGAATGCCTGCTACCCCAATATCTGCATGATTTTCTACTGTGTTCACTTAGTCTCCACTTAAATAAAAACTTAAAGGGCTTTCTCTAACCACCTTATATAAAATAGCACCCTACGCTACCATCTTCTATTACTCTCCTTATGTTTATTTTCTGCACAGGATTTATGAATACCTGACATGTTTTTATTAACTTATTAGTTTTTTACCTACCTTTCTTCAGAATTTAAGCTTCACAAAAGTAGGGACTTCAGTATATAAAACTCTAAGCACTCGTAATTTATTAAATGAAAACATTTTATGTACAAGGTTGTTTAATTGCATGTAATGCTATAATTGTTAAAACCTAGAAAATCTGTCTTTTCTAAATCAGAGAAATAGAACCCAAAATTATACCAATTGTGATGGTTAATTTTATGCATCAAATTAGCTAGGCCATGATACCCGGATATTTGGTCAAACATTATTCTAGATATTTCTGTGAAGGTATCTTTTGATGAGATTAATATTTAAATTAGTAGACTTAAAGCAGATTACCCTCCATAATGTGAGTGGGCCTCATCTCTCAATCTCTCTCCCTACCTCTCTCTCTGTCTGTGTGTGTGTGTGTGTGTATACAAACACACACACACACATATACACACACACACACACACACACACACCTGTTTAGTTCTATTTTGGGGGACAACCCTAACAAACCAATAATATAAAACTACTGAACCTTTAAAACATGTTTTCAAAGAATAATGATGTGAGAGTTTATAACATTAAGTACAAGGAAAACTGTAATTCTAATTTCCCAATTTTGTTTACAAGTATATATGTGTTTATAGGTGCATATATATATATATATATGCCTATGTATGTGTTTGTGTGTGTATACAGGTATATGTGTGTGTGACAAAATGACATAAAAGCAATGAAGCAAAATTAGAATGGTGTTTCTTTATGGGCAGTAGAATTAGAGTAATTCTTGTACTCCCTTCTATATTTCTAAATTTCCCCAAATTAACATAAATTACTTCCATAAGCAAGAAAAACGTTATAATCAGCAATAACATATGAAGATAGAATATATGTAAAGTTACATTTAAATGCACTAATTTGAAAATCTGCAAACAAGCTGGATTCAGAACTTAAAGAGCATTACAAAGTTATTTGTGGTTAATTAAAAGCACCTTTGAATTAAGACACTTTTTCAAAATTGCAAGTATTTTAGTAGCCTATTTAAAAAAAAAAATGATCCCAACTCATAAGTATTTGTATAATACTATTTTTTTAAACAAAACCTTTTTAAAGCTTCAAGATCAGTCTGTTTTCTCTATTGGCAAATAATCTGGCTTTTGCAAATTGGCTTTAAAAATGTATATACCATTTTAACCTCTAAAAAAAATGCAACGACATCATACAATGGTGAGTACTCTGGATCTCGAAAATATGCAACTACAGGTTAAGTTCATCACCTAAAAAAGACACTTGAGAAAAAATACAAGCTGAAATAAGTTTTAAATACATATAGTGTAGGCTCTGAAGGTCTAACGTATGAACACTTTAACACTAATGCGCCAAAATAGCAGCCACCTGTAAGCTTTCACTCCAGTAGCTTTTAATTAGTAAATAACTTCCATAGTTGCCATTCTTTAGTGCACATTTTGGCATTCAAAAATATAAATCGTTTCAGTAACTGACACTCTAATATAGCTGATATTTTAATACTCTAAGTATTCATTCTAATTATTATAAAATTTAAATATGGCTGTCCATTATTTCTCAATGATAGTTTAGTAATCAATCAACTTAAAACTTACAATATATTTTCAAGTTTAATAATATGCAGCCAAATTATCCTAAGTGACCTAACGACTTTTAGAATGTTATCTATAAAAATCAAACATATACTATACAGTAAGCATATATTTTAGTATATAGGACTAGTATACAAAAGTTGCCATGGTTCATTTAGTTGAGTTCCATCTGCAATAGATGAGTCAAAGATCTCTTACTTGCTATCACTGGTAAATGTTTCCCAAAATACCTTAATTTCTTTTATTGTCATATTATGGCTTAGTCACCCATCCACTTATTTAAATAGTTCTAGAATTTGTATTTTTCTCTGAACTCTTTTGGGGTACTGGTTCCATAAGGTACTATGACTGGAGAGTGCATCAGTATGTTCATATGCATGTTCTACTTTCTAAGCTCTAAAGGCTGCCCCTCTCAGTGGCTCCTAGTTGCCATGTTCTGGTATTGGATTTGGAAAATAAGTTCATGTTCTATCTCTCCATACTATTTGTGATTTTTAGATTTCAGTTCTATCCTGCTTAAGTCTGTCTTCCCTTTTACAGCAGACCTTCAACCACTGGATCCTTCTCAAAGTCTTCTGTATCTTTCTTGAAATAACCAGAGTATTAAAAGTTTTAAAATGTTGCTCTTTTGGGTCATAGAATTCTGTAGAACTGCTTCCTGGCCAAGCTACCCACTTCCCACCCTCACCAATGTCCAACCAGAGCAGCACTTCAGTCTGTCTTAAACCCTAAACTGCAAAAGAAGGCTTCCTCGACAAAAATTACCTGTGGTTAAAAAAATGTGAAAACCACTGATTTAGTAAGGATGAAAGACTGTATTTTGTTTTTAATCTTTTAAAGAATTCCTTGAGATCCACTAGCATTCTTGGCCTATGTAGTCTGATATCTGGGAAGGGTGAAAGTCCCAAATATGTCTTCCTGTGTCCCCTCCAGCTTATAATAGGGATAAGGCTTTAAAATACCAGGAGAAAGGCAACATATTAATTTAAATCAACAATAAATAAAATTGATTACTATCAGATCCTTTTCTCATAGAAAAGAAGTTGAGAAAAAAAGGATCTAAGAGGTAAATATGTATCTTGGAAGAAGACAGGGAATATAAAGAACAAGGGGATTTTAAAACCAGGCTTTATTCTTCTTTCTCAAGATCGCTTTGGCTATTGAGTTTTTGTGCTGATATTTAAAATATATACTGAGACTCAATATACTGAGAGACTCAAAATATAAAGCTCTAGGATGGCAAGTATAAATAATAATGATCTCTTGGGGTTGCCCATCACAAATTCTATGGGCTGGACACCAGGAGTGGTGAAAGTCCCAAATATGTCTTCCTGTGTCCCCTCCAGCTTATAATAGGGATAAGGCTTTAAAATACCAGGAGAAAGGCAACATATTAATTTAAATCAACAATAAATAAAATTGATTACTATCAGATCCTTTTCTCATAGAAAAGAAGTTGAGAAAAAAAGGATCTAAGAGGTAAATATGTATCTTGGAAGAAGACAGGGAATATAAAGAACAAGGGGATTTTAAAACCAGGCTTTATTCTTCTTTCTCAAGATCGCTTTGGCTATTGAGTTTTTGTGCTGATATTTAAAATATATACTGAGACTCAAAATATACTGAGACTCAAAATATAAAGCTCTAGGATGGCAAGTATAAATAATAATGATCTCTTGGGGTTGCCCATCACAAATTCTATGGGCTGGACACCAGGAGTGTTGGGTCCTAATGTGCTACTAATTAACTAAGTGACTTTAGGGGTGGGATATTAATCTTGTTCAGTTACTTTATTTCAAGAACTAAGTTAAGACTATATGACTTCTAAGCTCCTTTATGTTTTAAAATTCTGTGATCCAAACCCAGGCTATCTTACCTGTGAGATCAGTCCCTTCTGGGAATATGAGGAGTTGAAGTGGTTCACGGATATCACAAAAATAATCAATCATGTCTTCAAAATGGCTCTTGTCATCCTTCCATTTCCTATGAATGAAGATATAGGCAGCAGCCTGCATGGCCCAACCTAGGATCAATTTAACAAGTATTTACATACAATTTTATTGCCAATATCCATATATTATTGAATATATTTCAGTTTTTTTGTTTTACTACAAATAATTTACTATCATATCGAGCATCTCATGATATACCTAAAAGTCAGCACCAATTTTGGGTTAAATAACACATATACTAGAGAATATTCTTAAGAGTTTGCTAAAATCTGGCTGGGGTTTGCAAAATTCTCAAAAACCTCTTTTCAAGCCAAACTAGCTATTAAAATATCAAGGGGAAAAAAAACTTCTCTAATATTTATCAGTAACTCATCCAAAGTTTTAACAATCCTAACTGACTGGACATTTTAACAAAGCTATCTACAAGAGATATGCAACTATGTGTTGTCAGGCTTAATGCAGTAAGCAAAGGGTTATTCTCAAGTCACGTACACAAGCACACTTTAATATTCCCTTTTCTGTACTACTCAGTCTCTAAATTCAACTATTTTCAAGGCTAGCCACTTCTTTAGGTTTTATTTAAAAGGGAAAATGTGCAATGGCTATTAAACACATTAATCAGAGTATACACTGTGATCACATCCCTTTCTCCAGGGTAAATCAACCTTGTAACCTAAGAAGTAGCCCTAAACAAGCCATGTTTTATCCAACTGGCCATTGCTCTCTGCCCAGAAATGACTAGAAATGCTGTGGTAAATACCTGACTTAAGGCAGCCAGTCTAAAGTCATTTCAGTAGTCTGTGAAGCATGAAACTCTAAGCCCAAACACAGTAACTATCCTGGCCAATCAAATGTTCTCAGAAATTTGACCTGGGACCATGGAGAATACAAGTTGGTAATATAAATGCAAATGGATGGACAAAAAAAAAGCAGCTAATAGAGACAGCAGCAGCTGAAGCAAGACAAAGATAGCATACTGTAGTGAACAACTGAAACTCTAGCTGCTGAGGTGCCTAAACCTTATTTTGATACAGGATAATGCAGTTTTAATCTCCACAAGTGCTGGCCAGTCTGTGGATCCACCTCCTGGATATCCCCGAGAGTCCCTGTACCTTACTGCCATGTGCATCTTTACAATATTCTTTCACTATTTCAACTGGAGGGGATGAGCGGTAGTGCTTGCAAACAAAGAACACAACTAAAATGACAACTATCATCATCTGGTAAATACAGCAGTACTCTGAGAATATAGAAAATCATAATTAAATCATTTTTAATGATTTAAGAAACTATAGAACTTTACTTGGTTTGAACAGGTCCAAACTAGAATACTGTATTCTACAAATATAAATACACACATACCAAAAAATCCACTTTAGTATAAGTCTTGCTGGTATGTATCCGATTACTATTCACTCACTGTACTGTCATTCATATCCATCAGTATTGGACTCGATACCACACTTGACCCTCCCACACATCACTCCCCATTCACGCGAAGAAACCTAGGCCAACAGTGAGTGAGACTGCCTGGGAAAGAATCATAGCTCCACCAAAAATCAGCTGTTAAGCCTTTAGCCCTTGTCCCTCATTGACCCCAAATGTAAAAATGAACATAATATTGTAACAGTATTTACCAGATAGGGGCTATTAGAAGAAGTAAATAAGATTATTTAGTACAGAGTATTCAATAAATAATAGCTATTTGGTGATTAAGAAGTTCCATTACTATAATTATATCAAGAATATTATGTCAAGTAACAAAAATATAACAAAGTTCCTATCTACAATAGCAAAACAAAAATTTAAACAAACAAACAAAAAATCCTGCAGACACCACAGGAAGACAACTACACAACTGGGAGAAAATGGTGAGTGAGACATACAATGCTTCCGAACTCAACTCACATGCCAGTGATCTCCAAATTTATTATTAGTTCCATGTAATTTCAATAAAAATTCCGGTAGCATGAGGGTGTGTGAGAATTTGACTATTTGATTCCAAAGATTATCTGTAATAAGAGGTGAGACTATCTAAGATAATTTTGGAATAGTAGGAAAGATTCATACCATTAAACATATTCATTAAGTATATATTATGAAGCAGCAATAATTAAATCAGAACAGTATATCTGTTTTGACAAATGAAAAAGAATGCAAGACTTAGAGAAAGGCCTTTAAATGTGTTACAGATTTGGTATATAATGACAGAATTTCAAATCAGAGGATAAAGAATGAGTTAGGTTTTTTTTTTTTACATTTTTATCGAGGTATTAACAGTAAACTATGCAGACACTAAGTGTGTAGGTGTAAAGCTTAATAAATTGTTACATATATCTGTGTGGCCACCATCCAGATTACAGTACGGAGCATTTCCAGCACCAGAATGCTGCTGGGCTCCCCTGTCAGCCAATACCCCCCACCAAAGAAAACCATTATTCTGACTTCTTTAGCCATAAATCAGATAAATGAAATCACTCAGTAGGTATTCTTTTGTCTTTGGCTTCTTTTGCTCAATATTGTGTCAATAAGATTCATCCCTGTTGTTACATGTGGCAGTATTTACTTCTTTGCATTGCTATGCAGTAGTCAATTATATGAATATAATACAACTTATTCTCCTGACAGATTTCTTGGCCATTAAGAATAAAGTTAATATGGATATTCTTGTATTGGTCTTTCGTTGAACATAAGTGCTCAATTCTTTTGAGTGAATATTCAGGAGTGGATCTGCTGCATAATAGGATTTCTGTATGTCCAGGAGACATGTTTTTCAATGCTATTGTACCAATTGACAACCCCACAAGCAACGCACGGGAGTTCTAATTGCTCTACCTATAGCCTCCCAACACTAGGTCTTATATGAGTTCTTTCAATTTTATCCATTGTAATCCAGGCATAGTACTTTTAATTTGCATTTCCCTATGATTAATGATGTTGAGAATCTTTTCATGTACAAATTGTCCATCTGGATATCTTCTTTATGAAGTACCTCTTCAAACTTTTTGCCCGTTTTTTTTAAATGAGATTGTCTTTTTCTTATTGTGGGATACAAAGTTCTTTATCAAACACACACACAAAAAAATATACATAATTCTAGGTTTCACATATATACCAAATATCTTCAGTCTGTGGCTTGCATGTTCTCTCCCATAATAGCATCTTGGTATGAACCTAATATGTAGTATTAATGAAGCTTAATTTATAAATTTTTTCCATTGTGCTTGGTGCTTTTTGTGATTTTGCCTACTTCAAAGTCAAGACATTATTCCATGTATTGTTCTAGAAGCTTTATTGTTTTTTACTTTCACAATTTGGTTTATGATTCATCTCAAATTTTTGTATACGATGTGAGGTAGAGGTTAAAGATTCTTATTTTTTATTTGGATATTCAATTGACAAGTACCATTTACCAAAAAGATCGAAACCATTAATTTAAATAATGAAGTATTACATTACACAATAAAACATATTGCTGTAAAAATAAAAGTCAAACAATACACTATATACGCAAACTATATACTTTAAAGTATATAGACTAAAACATGAAAATACTCCTTTATTATCATGTCCTTCAACCCTATCCTACCAATTACATTTTTTTAAATAATTATGGTTAACGATTTGATGTGAAATGTTCTATATTTTAAAAATTCATTACATATGTTTTTTAAAAAAAACACACATACACACTCATTAAACCATACATTTATACTGTTCTATTTCTTTTTTTTTAACATGTCCATATATTTGGATCTACTTCATTTTTTTTAATACCTGCACTATATCCTCTAATAGTGCTTGTCAAACCAGTCTACTGTTTTTAATTTCCAAACCATTATTGACTGATAGTTTTGTAATTACTAGACAGTAATAGTTTTGTAATTACCAGACAGTAATAGTTTTGTAATTAATAAATTACTAGAAAGATAACCACATACTTGGAAGTTATGACAATGTCACAATACTGAAAAAGTTTCTGACTACTCTAGTTATGCACTTATAGTAGACCAATAACAGTTTGAAAACTGGCACTGTTGTATGAATCCCACTTTTTAAATAGTATTGTTCTATAATATAGATATATCATGATCTAGAACCCTATAATCATTTAAGATATACCCAAATCTGAGAATCTGTCTTTATTGGAAAAGTTTATTCCATTCACATTTATTAGGGAAACTTGTTTTTTTTTTCTTTTCCTGACTTATGTTTCCTGTTTGTTATACCTCTTTGTGGTTTCTTGCCCACTTTTCTCAACTTTTTTTCCTTTTCCTATCTTTCCTTAAAATTAAGTTTTCTTTGCCCTCTTCCTTTGTTCTGCAATGCAGAGGCCAGTGAACTACAGACCTAACCAAGCCCGCTATCTACCAGTGTATGGCCCATAGAAGACTTTTATAAGACATGAAAATAAAAGGAAATTCCAATTTCAGTGTTTATAAACAAAGTCTGACTGGGACTCAGCCACATCTGTTTGTTTATGCACATTGTCTATGGCTGCTTTGGTGCTGCAACAGCAGAGTGGAATAGGTGGAAAAGAGTCAGTAGTGCCTGCTAAGCCTCAAATATTTAGTACCTAGTCCTTTACAGAAACAGTTTGCTGCCCCCTACTGCAGTGGTGGTTTGGCAATTGTATACACCTTATTTTTTTAATGGCCATCCTCAAATTTTTTCACTTTTCCATTTTTGACATTTAAACTTACATAATTCTATCAACATTGAGTCAAACAATAAATAATCCTCCTCAAACAAAAAAGTATGTTGTCTCTCTTCCAAAATTGGTAGAACTATCCAATAGTTCCTCCAAATTGCCATCACTATTATAACACATTCCTTATGCACCACAGAAGCATTTTTAATTTAGCCTTGACTCTAAGTTTGTTGAGGTCTTTGCTTACCATTGTTTCCTGCACCTATGTCTTCCTATTAGTCCTCCTGAAGGAATTTCTTTCAAAAAACTGTTTGAGTCCGCATTCCTGAAATGTATTTGTTCTCAACACTGGAGGCTAGTTTGGCTAAAAATAGAATTCAAAATGCCAAATCATTTCCCCTCAGAATTTCAAAGCTATTT